CTCGTGGCGACTTCAGTTGACAAAAAATATTCTTCCATGGTCGTAGAGACGACGTTTCATCGAGCTTTCAAAATTTATGGAAAGAAGAGGCACCCTTGTTTTTCCACACGCTGCGCGATGCAAAAATATTTTCGAAAAAATCAAGACAGCACTACGAAAGTAGAGTTTTCAAGCTTTAAAATGAGTCTAGATAGATTATCTTACGAATTTTTCTCACGAAGTTACTACAGTTCGAATGTTAACGATTCTGCGTCGTTTCCAATTTTTCCACTAACTAACCCAGTGCATCAAATCGCAGAAGACAGACGCAGAGGCTCGTAAAAGAATCCATTTTATAGCTAAAATGTGCAAGATCGTCTAAAAAATCGCATAAACCGTAATAAAGTAAGCTCGGATCGATTTGGAAGTTCGGAATCGGTTCCGTCTCTCGCGAAGACCGAGAAGCGACCCGATGCTGGAACGTTCGCGCACGATTCGCTCATAAATTCATCGATTGCGCCCAAGTTCCGATCTTTTCTCGCAAAGTGGCCCTACCAACAACTTTCGCGATGCTTTATTGCTCCCGCTCGCATCTGCGGCGCACATCTCGCGAACCTGGCCCCGATAATTCGCTCGTCGATCACACGCAGCGATAAATCGTGGCCCTGCCGGGCGTCTCGCCTCGCTCCGCGCCGGTCCACGCTCGAAACGATTATAAATTGGCTTTGAATTCGACGGAACGGCGAGTCGTTCGGTTCCCTTGCTAATTGTTTCCTCGTTAGCGGCGTCAACTCGGCAATAGCCGTTTCTTTGTGCCTGCGGATGTCGCGCGTTTTCACCTATCCCCGCTGTACCGCGATAATCGCCGTTCGTTTCGCGTATCTCGCAGAATCTGAAAAGCCCTCGAAGATTTCCCGGCAACCTCCAGTCGGAGCATTTTGCTTCCCCGAGGCGGAGCTGGGAGTGACGAACTAATCGAACGCCTCGATTGCGCTGCTCGATACGGCCATTATGAGCCGCGAGAACTTCGAGTCGGGCGACGACGACGCGTCGTGAGTACACTCTTTCGAATCTTATTCGATATACTGAAACCTAAGTTCTTTCCGGTATCCGGTTTCACTTTTGAAAGCAGCCACGTTCTTCCAGCATAATGTTTTCTGCGAAATATCTGCTTTCTTCTTGGAACATCCGCTAACACTTTTGAGTTTAATTATAATTTATTTCAATTTAATTTAGTTTAATAATTTAGTTAATAGTTTAATTTAATTTTAATTCTAACATAATTCCACTTTGAAATATCCAGAATCTTTGTCGAATACCTAATTACTAGACTGCGGATTATTATGAGAAGTAACAATTTTCTGCATCATTTGTAGGGCGTAGAAGACAAGCACAAGTTTTTTTTTTCTTCTGACAATAATTTTTCTTGTCATATTTTTCACCGTTTTAACCCTTTGCAGTCGAAGCTATTTGAATTCGAAATCCAAAACATGATTTCTGATCTACAGTATTTCTATTTTATATAATTTATTGCGATTTATGCGTATAAAATTGAGCCTATTGGCAAGTACAATGCAATTTTAATAGTTTTTTTTTTTAATATAAACGAGTCTGATGCTCTTAGAATGATTTTGGAAAAATAGTATATCAATTTTTAGTGGCGCCACAGAGTCGCCACTCGAGTGCAAAGGGTTAAATTATACCTACGCATTTTTATCATGATTCCAGCAAATTCGCAGTTTACTAATTGCCCTTCTGAAATCTAGCTCATTATTCTATTATTATTCTCTTCCGGAACGTACAATTTCTTTTCGGGGCATAATTATAATAATTCTTGAAATCTAGTTCCTCCGCCGGAATTGTCATAATCCACGAAACAGACAGCTAAAGTTTGCGAGAGGATAAGGAAGCAAGACATGCAAGGCGAATAAAAAGGCCACCGGAGTCGCGTCATGGCATTCAATTTAACCATAAACGTTCTTATATTTAAACTGCGCGTGCTGCCTTTTGCTGTTTACTACCTTTGTTATTTAGAATGTGGCATTAAATTGTTTCAGCGAGCTGTTCTCTCGTTTTCGTCCTTTTGTTTCCCGTTAATCCTGTTCTCGCCGACCTTTAACCTTTCGCGGCTCGAAGCATTNACATGATTTCTGATCTACAGTATTTCTATTTTATATAATTTATTGCGATTTATGCGTATAAAATTGAGCCTATTGGCAAGTACAATGCAATTTTAATAGTTTTTTTTTTTAATATAAACGAGTCTGATGCTCTTAGAATGATTTTGGAAAAATAGTATATCAATTTTTAGTGGCGCCACAGAGTCGCCACTCGAGTGCAAAGGGTTAAATTATACCTACGCATTTTTATCATGATTCCAGCAAATTCGCAGTTTACTAATTGCCCTTCTGAAATCTAGCTCATTATTCTATTATTATTCTCTTCCGGAACGTACAATTTCTTTTCGGGGCATAATTATAATAATTCTTGAAATCTAGTTCCTCCGCCGGAATTGTCATAATCCACGAAACAGACAGCTAAAGTTTGCGAGAGGATAAGGAAGCAAGACATGCAAGGCGAATAAAAAGGCCACCGGAGTCGCGTCATGGCATTCAATTTAACCATAAACGTTCTTATATTTAAACTGCGCGTGCTGCCTTTTGCTGTTTACTACCTTTGTTATTTAGAATGTGGCATTAAATTGTTTCAGCGAGCTGTTCTCTCGTTTTCGTCCTTTTGTTTCCCGTTAATCCTGTTCTCGCCGACCTTTAACCTTTCGCGGCTCGAAGCATTGTCGATAGTCATGTGGTTTCATCGCGTCTCAGTATTTCGAAGCCAACGTCGCGCAACGAAAGTGAATAATCCGTATGAATGCCCTATAAAAAACTCGCGGATATATTTATACCGATCTTTTCAAACTGTTAATGCCACGTTTGCTCGAATCATTTTTAACGCACTTCTCGGTCTACGTTCTACGTAGACCTTAGGATGTTCCGGCACCCCCAGATACCTAGTTGACTTTTACACTGTTGATAGGATCTACTACAATTAACCCTTTGCACTCCGATATTGCCGACACGGCGACACTGAATTATCGTCTTTTATCGCTAGAACGACCGAGCCCTAAATGCGAATAATGTATATCGTTTTATGACAATCACAAGATTGGATTTATTTAAATTTCATTTTTTTTTTATTATGTCGTATAAAAATTCCAGACAAAAACATCTTTACGGTATTAGGGATTGTAAAAGAAAAAATCAGAAACTAGACATTTTGGTAGTTCTAGTGTTAAGGTAATCACGTAAAATACATAGGTTAAAACACAAAACTGTTTACTTATTAATTTCTGTAAAATTTCACAGCGGTACAATGATCTTCATTTCGATTCAACTTTGTGCAACAGAATCACAATTTTGACAAAATCAGAAACTAGACATTTTGGTAGTTCTAGTGTTAAGGTAATCACGTAAAATACATAGGTTAAAACACAAAACTGTTTACTTATTAATTTCTGTAAAATTTCACAGCGGTACAATGATCTTCATTTCGATTCAACTTTGTGCAACAGAATCACAATTTTGACAAAATTTGCTCCGAGTTGCTGGTTGATACTTATATTAGAAAAATCTTCCGAGTAGCTAAGGGTTAATTCTGACCCGTCAACTAGATCGTTTCTAAGATCTCCGCGGGATTCTAAATTATTTCTGGATTTTTATGCCTCATGGGTCCCGAACAATTCATAAACCGCTGTTTTTTAGAGGTTCCAAATTCCGTCGATACCTCCAAGACTCAGCTCTAACCTATCCGTGGATTTATAGGCTACGCAGGTCCTGAAGCACTCGCGAATCCATTAACCAATTAGCTGTGGCGCCTGCTTTTCAGAGCGCGCACCCATATGTGTCGCGAGAATCATGCGATGACGAGTATACTCGTGGAACACAGAGTAAGTGTCGCTGTTAAAATATTGGATCAAAGAGACGGTTTTATCTTATAAAATCAACAATTTTTTATTACTAACATTTACTTACTATTACTAATTATCGCTAATATTAACATATATGCTACATACATAATAAACGAAGGAAAAATCGAATACTTATAAAAGTGAAAGATTCAAATTGTTACTGTAGAATGGTACATATTCGGCAAAGCAAGGAACGACATATAATGGCACTTCGCATATCATGATTCATCGATGATGATTCTTTTCTAATTTTATTTTTACAACAATATAAACATCTTCGTGCAGGATTGGCCTCGAAATATTCTAAACACCTTGAGATTTGAGAACATGTTTTTATTTTCACTAAAATTACAATTTAAATAGCTAACGGTCACTACTTTTTACGCACGACGAGTATACTCGTCATGATACAAAATACTGCCATTTCTCCATGACGAGTATACTCGTCGAACACAGCTAACCGGTTAAGATTGTCGTGGTCCTCTAAACTGTCGTTACGTCCGACGATTTACGTGGATCCGAATCGCGTTGACGAACTCCAAGATGCTCGCAGGCCCGCGAAACGTCGCCAGGCTCGCGACAAACGCGTCCGACAGCTAAAAACTCCGGTCCGGGGGCGACGGCAGTTAACGCGGCGCAGCAGCTACACGCGGCTCGAACAAAGCGTTTCCTGCCGAGAAGGTTTAATTATAATAAAATCGCGTGCGCGTCGCCGCGCCGGGCGATCGCGAACGACCATTCAGGAATTATCTCGTGAACCCACGCGCGTTGCGTCGCGCCGGCGTCGCTCGAACACGACGTATTCGAGGAAGCAATTTACGTTATCAGCCCGGTTCGGTCAGAATCGCAGATCCCGCGAGATTATGCGATCACTGCGAATCGAGTTCGCGACTCGACAGCAAAGAAGAGACCGAAGGAATCGCGGCGGCGGAGGCTCGCGAGCGGAGCCGAGAACAGGCCGAGAAATCGCGCAGACAGGTGCGCCGAGCCAGCCGCCTGTGCGATCTTGTCTGATTCGCCAAGTTTTCACGTGTTCGTTCGATTTGTTTTTTAGACCGTGGATGCAGCCGGGTATTGGAGGCGGAGGTGGCGCGGCCCACGCAGGTGGGACAGGTGACGACGAGGCTCCGAAAGATCCCGGTGTTCGGATCACCCATCAGTCTTACACCGAGAAAGATTACGAAGGTACCGATGTTTCTTGAGCTTGCTTCGTTCTCCGGCCCGGAACCGGTCTGTCGAGCCATCGTTTCGATTTTCAATTCGATCGGATATCACGGTGAAACGCGTCGGTCGAGAACCGTCTTGACAACGTCGAAATCGTATGCTCGTGCTTGGAAGATTTTTTTCTCAGAAAATCCGAGTCGGCGTCTAGACATTATTGCCGGGGCTTTGTTGTCCGTACCTCGAAGAGCACGAAATTATTTACCTGGTCCTCTTATTTCGCATAATGGCGGCGACGAACTGTACAGCCGACGAGCATCCTCGTCGGACTCTGCGCACCGGCGTGCATGACTTCCGCATTGCTTATTCGATTCGTCTGAAATTTAGACCGGATGCTCCGCTGTACATACTCTAAAAAACGCGGTTAACACTAAAGCTACCGAGCGTCTAAGCTATTCAGCTACTAAAGAAGTCTGACATGTTTTATATAAGACTCGCGAGTCCCATTTTTATTACAATGTGTGCTTGAATTAAGAAATTTATTCAATCGTTTCCTACGAAAGTGGCTCTATGATGCCGACAATGTTTAAATAAAAACTGTGAAACCGATCATTTTGATCGCCACGGTGGATTTAGTGTTAAGCTTTTTGCAATTGGAGACTCTTGGCGTTGAGATTTTTGGTAGAACCATGAAATTTAAGTCCAGCGTCGCTACGGTAATGTCTCCCTTACTGACGCTCAGATTGTGCACAAAAATGGACAATTTCGGAACAGGAGATACGACTGTTCGAGCCTTGCAGTTAGTTTTTATAGTTGCCGATCGTCAACAATCATAAGAACGAGCCGCAAGCCTCGAATAATCGTATCTCCTCTTCCCAAATTGTCTATTTTTCTGCACAATTTGGGTGACAATTAGGGAGACATTACTGTATTTTGCGGGACCAGGAAGACGAAGGAATATTTACACGCTCTTTCAGGTTCGGAGGACCTGGTCCATGCGAAAAGTTCTCTATCCAGCCAATGGTTTCTCCCAGGAAACGTGGCTGGGGCGTACCTTTTAGGCCTAACTCGTTAATACTTCTCCGCGTGTAGGTCAATCGGATGGGAACACGGATCGGGCTTCGATGTTTGCTCACAGAAGGCAAACGGTCGACTCGCGCCGGTGCTTCGAAAATCATTATTTCGTCGATGTCGCGACATCCTCGTCTCGGCCGAGCTGGTCCCGAGGTCACCTGTCCCGCCGCGATCTTGAACCGTTCCAGCGAGGCTGATCGATTCCACCTGAGCGACGCACAGCTCGATCGAGCGAATCGGTGATCTCGATGCGAGCCGGCTCCCTTCGTCGGGACTCCGTAGAGACCCTAGAACCTGAGATTCGGCGAGGCCTATCGAACAATCAGCGCCGGATCGTTCACGATCGAGCAAACACCGGGAAACCGGCGGTTTTCGAGTTCGACATGAACGGCCGGAAAATCGTGGCTCAGCGTTCCGGCGAAAGGATTCCTATTATATCGACGATCCTAGGATCCGATGAGGCTTTGAGTAGCTCACGCGAGCCCTCTTTCATCTGCTTCCAGGTCACAGGGCACACACCGTCTACGTGGGCGTCCATGTGCCCGGAGAGAGGAGACACCGTCGTCACCACAAGCATCATCATTCCCAGCGACAGTCGTACAACGCCGATAAGGAGAATGTCGACGAGAGGCCCAGTAAGTTCTTATCACGATCTTCTACGCTAGTAGTATCCATCGCCTGTTCTCATACTTTGCTCTTCGATTTTCCTCGCAATCTTAGCGAAACTTCATCTTAGTTCGCCTCACAATCTTCTTCCGAATCTTCTCCTAGTTCCTTCCTCCTTTGTTTCATGGTTTTCTCCATGACCTCGATTACTTTGGTCCGTGTCAAGACCGACGATATTCCTCACAGTCTTCATGATTTCCTCGCATTTTCGTTCTTTAACCTTCTTCTTAGCTTCGATCATTTTCGTCATCCTGCCACGTCCCTCGATCTTTCTTATATTACCCATGGCACGTTCTCATCTTTTATTCTCCCATCGTTCCCGCAGATTTGATCCTTCTATCTAATATTGTGATCTTGGATTCTGTTCATGATCCTCGCGATTTCCCCTCGTCTGTTGTTCCACCAATCTTCTTCAATTTTCTTTCCTCAACTCGAAGCCTTCATAACGTGGCACTCTTTCAGCCCTGCATCTTTTTCAGAGTTCCGAACCCCTTCTCTCGCGCGTATATTGCCCGTGGCCGTCTTCTTCGCGATCTTGATGAATCCGCTTCGTGTTTTGTTCCTCGGTCTTCACCGTGGCTTTGATTACTTTTCCTGGTATTTCATCTCTCGGTCGTTCCCATAACATCAATGATACGACATTCGCTTTTGTTCGAGGACTACCAACCCTTTCTCCCACGCGTACTTCGCTCCTGGCTTTTCTTCCTTCATGGTCCCCATGATTTTTCTCGTGTTTTGTTCGATCTTCCACACCGTTCCGACGATATTCTCCCCAGCTTCGGCGCTACCCCATCGCCTCGCGACCCTCCATTCTTTCGGATCCCTTATCGAACTCGCCCGTCCCTCCTGCCTCTTGCTGTGAAAGGGTCGCATTTTTTATCCAACTGAATTCTTGCTCCTACAATACCTGCTGGAAGCTCAATATTTCAGGTTGACTTCGCGGCCGGCTCGTGTTCGTTATCATTCGACCGCGAATCGCCATGGGAGTTACCATTTCGTAGATTGTAGCAATATATTAAATCGAGTCGTAAGTAACTTCCGTTTCCGTATCAGACATTTATTTTGTTCCTTTTTATTTATTTTTCATTCGTTTCTTTTTATCTCATTCATTTCGAACCCTTGTCTATTTAATGAAAGCAAAAACTCGTTCGTCTCGGTAGCTCATCGCGGGTAGATACGAACAATAGATTCTACCCGGCGACATCGGACGTTATTTATAGCTCGACCGAATAAAAAATGAAGTACCATTCATAAAGACTCGCGGCGTAGTTATTATTACGGAATCTAAAACGAGGCAGCCGTATTCCAATGCGGATCTGATCGGAGTACAGCGAAGCACCGCGGGAGTTAAAACGCGCAGCAGAAGTTGAATTACCGGAACAGAAATCGCGGAACGTGATATTGAATGCATACAAGACCATCCCCTTTAAAATCGACCGCAGCGCGGGCTGCTTTTCTCGCGCCCAGGTGTAGTTACTTAATCAAACTTTTTAATACGAACAGACCGAAAGGTCGGGCGTTAAAAATTGAAAGAGACGCTCCCTCGGAGATATCAATGATGAATTATTACCGTAGAAATCTGTAACGCGTCGGTCGAGGAATTCCAGAGATAACTTCGATATTCCTGGACCAAGGGGGTGTCATCAATTTTTCGGAACGATCGATTCCGTATGTAGATCGGACGCGCGAAAGTTCGCCCGTTCGAGGAACGCACCACGAATCGATTGCCATCCACGAATAGACAGGGCAGACTGAACATCTTTTGTAGGTCACGAGTTTTCGAGGTTTCGAATAGAAGTTAATCGCCGGCGTCGCGACGCCGTCGTCGCTTCGGGGCGGTCTGCGGGACGTTAGCAAGAAACCGACTCCCCTGATCCTCCCTCCAAGACATCAGATTCGGCAGCGAACTTGGCAACACGGTGCTTCTGCCACTCGTAAAAAGGCGACGAGAAAATCCTCCGGTGTGCTAAGGAATTGCCAGTTCCGTCAACGAGATAACTCATTCGACAGACAGATAGGGATGGCCTGATGCTAGATGTTACGGGGGCAAAAAGTTACGATGAACATTTTCGATGAAAGAAAGTAGTTGGAATTGAACCGAGAGAGAATGAAATGCTCGCGACACCTTTCGTTTTCAGGTCACGTGCGAAATGTCACGTTAAATGTGCCACAGGGAACATTAAGTACAGTAATGTCTCCCTAATCGACGCTCGGATTGTCCACAAAAATGGATAATTTGGGAAGAGGAGATACGATTGCTCGAGTCTCGCAGCTCGTTTTTATAATTGTCGAAAATCGGTAACTATAAAAACGAGTCGCAAGGCTCCTCTTCCCAAATTTTTGTGGACAATCTAAGCGTCAATCAGAGAGACATTACTGTAATGCTATGCGTGCATTCATTGTGACAGCTATTGTTCAGGCTGAATGTCTCGTTATTTCGTTTAATCGAGAATTTACAAGTAATACTCAGATTAAAATTGAAAGAAATGTCTTTGATTTCAATATTGTTTAATGAACGCTTCTTGTAAGTAAAGTTGTTAGAAATCATTTTTATTCTTTAGTTCGAGCACGAAAGTTAGAAGATACCTCCGTTTTTTATTTTGGAATCATATAAAGATCGACTCGAAAACTGTCCAAATACTACCTTGACAGTAAACATGTGTTATTTGTGATAATTTGAGTGTAATTTCTAATTAAATATTGATCAATGTTTATTGTTTGCAGCAGTGTACTTGTAACATTTTATTCTTTATCGTATTCTTCATTAATATCTGATACGAGACGTTACATTACTTTTTGATGTTCCGTTTGACATATTATAAAATCACATATACCAATTAAAGCTGATTAGTTTACCTGATATTATGAAATCACATATATCAATTAAAGCTGATTAGTTTACCTGATAAAAATGTTAAGATCTCAGATTAATCAACGTAAAGACAACACGTGATACCAAGGTTTCCGTGAAAAAGTCACAACCGGCCCCGGTCTCCCTTATCCGAAAGAAAACTTCGTTCCCGTCAAGAAAAATCGCTGCCTCGGCAGAAGCGCTAAAGAGCCGATCATAAGCCGACAGAGCAATTTTTTTGCTCGTCCAGCCTCGGCAAATCCGCCGTCCCATTCATTTCTGATTTTATTATAGCCATAATCTTAAGCTCAGGGTGATCCGTAAATTGCCATTCAAGCCGAATGTTCGCGGCTAAATATCGCAATGGGAACCCAGGAGGGTTCTCCCGATAATCTCGGAGGGTCTTCAGGTTCGGATAATCGATCCGTTTGAGAAGTGCCTCAGGGAGCAGAATTCCTCGCTGCCAAAAAAAAGGGAAAGAAGGAACGCTTTGCTCTCAGCGCTCGTGCCGAATTAACCTAGCAGTTTCCTCTTATTGCTCACCTCTGCCGGGGCTTTCACCCTACTCGTTCGTAACGTAATCTACTCAACTATAAACCGACTCTAAACATCGTAGAGGGAATACTAACTCTGATAATCCACTTAGCCGGGAGGCCCCCGAAGAAATATTCCTCTCTCAGTCGGAAACGGTCTCCGGTACTCCGGCGAAATGAACCGATTCCGAGCCAACAGAGCAATTTTCTGATCGTCCAGCCTCCTTTGCCCATTGTAGGCGCATGGTGGATTCTAAAGACCGAGGAAACTGGGTTGCTATCCATCCCGAAACGACGGCGACGACGACGGACGTCGCAAACGGGGAAACGAGATAGGGTAGATGTACCGTTTGTGGCCACGTTATGGATTTATAAGAATTTCCACGGAAATATTCTTGAAAGTCTTGTGCCACGCAAGAAAAAAATGTACAAGTTTTAATAGATTAGTTGATACCGTTAGTTTTTATATCTGTCATGCAATAGAGGGTAACAAAATTATTAACGATTGCATTTTCGCTAAGGAGAAAGTTGCTCCGAATAACCTCAGGAATCCCCCGTTACGAGATTGCGAGACATTTTTGGGACACCCTGTATTTACTAGTTTGAAGTTCTGTTGATCGCTAGAAACTGTAGCCAACTACGAATCCGAATACAAAATTCATAGTTAATTTCGTTTTACTTTCGATAAATTATCGATACAGTAGTATAGGACGATAGGTCGAGATTTAATATCGAGGTCCTTCTATAGTTTCATCGTTATCGCTAAGAATGATAAAAAAGATCTGAATAACAGAGATCGAGGAAAATCCAGTTCGGTTAATCGAGGTTCTACTGTAACAATACCGATGGCCAGAAAAGATGCGCGGGCCACAACCGGTGCATCTACCGTACTCTCGCGAGTGCGCGATAGACGGGAGATACAATCGCGGTGTTCGCGATGAAAACGACTGTCTGTCTCCGCTTTGCCTGGTCGTTCCCATTAGCGCGTCGCGTCGTCGTCGTCGTCGAAGGGTGCACCGGCTTCGAGGCTCTGCGAGCGTCGCACGGCGAGGCCTGTGTGCAGGTTGCACGGTGTGTTGCACTTTGCGGCTGTATCGAGCGGTGCGTGGCACCGAGCCAACCACTTGTCAGGACTTGCCCGGTTGTTCACCCTACTTCTGGCACACCGGGTACAAGTTGGTGACCGATATCGAGTCCCGGCGAAGGGTCTTCCTTTCTCCCGCGGCACCCTCGACCCTTGAACCTCCGGTTTTTAAACGAACATGGGGAGAAACCAGCCTCCCCCGCGGAACACCGGCGGCGGCGTCGGACGATCGAGATCGAGCTGGCATTCCGAGCCAGCGGACCGAAAACCGGCGGGGCGCCCGATCGAACTTCGAAATTGGAAGCCCGAGGATCAGCTTCGTCGGGGATACGCGATCGATCCGATGCGTGTTTACGAGGTCGTCCGATGTCAACGGTGACCGAAAGCTAGGGCACGTTCGATGCACCGCATGCATTCTATTCCAAGCTCGTTTCCTCCATCGATGCAATCGATGCTTTTCACTTTGACGCCGACGGCGACTTGCCAGCTGTTCGGAAACTCGATCTTGTTAACCCTAATCGGCCGGGATGCGCTTTCGCTATCCTATAGCAATTTTTGCGTAGCCAGTTCGGCCAGTCGAGCGATGTCAGCGAAGTTTTACCCTCTTCGTAGTAGATTCTCGGGATTCGTGGGTGATTAGATTTTCTTTAGTTGAATCGTAAAAAAGATTACGGACTTCTGCCGATGATTTTATTACGCTAACGCGTCGAGGAAGCACTATCGGCTTCAATTGCTCCTTAGATTTCATCGGGTTTGTCACCGCGACACAGCGTTGTCGGTTTTACGAGAGGATTCGCTTCGGATTTAAGGAGGATTCGCCTCAGATTTGGAAATGCGGTGGCTCAAGGAACTGATCGCACACCATTTAGGATAACGATCCAATTTTTAACAATCCAAAGTCGTTCCGTTCTAAATGATGTGTGATCGGTGGACTGTGGATCATTATGCAAAATACAAATTTCCTACGTCGACCGCGAGAAACAGAAATTGAATGAAAATAAATTGATTCTACTAATTACAGTAATGTCTCTCGAATTGACGCTCAGATTGTCCACGAAAAATGGACAATTTGGGAAGAGGAGATACGATAATTCGAGCCTTGCTGTTCGTTTTCATAGTTACGAATTGTCAAGAGCTATGAGAAAGGAGTTGCAAGGCTGGAATAATCGTGTCTCCTCTTTCCAAATTGTTCACTTTTGTTGACAATCCGAGCGTCAATTAGGAAGACATTAATGTATTCTGTTAACGTGAAGATAGCGTAACAAAATCGTCAAATTCTTGCGTCTCCGATTTTATATTTCAATCATTCATTTCTGTTACAAGTGCATAAAATCCGCGGTCCAATGATCAGTATCCGCGAGCCTCTGCATTCGTTTCAGATTCAGGAGAACCCATTTCGAACTTTGTAGAGTTCACTTCAGATTCAGCGGAATTCGTTTCAGATTCAGAGGGACTCATTCACCCGTTTCGTGCGATCGTAAAGAAAAAAATGAACGTTCACTGCTATCCACAAGGAAAGCATCCAACCATGTTACGCATCGTATTAGCGTGATAAGACTTGATAGTTGTAATTTGAAGGGGTCTGATCAACTTAGAGAGTTGAGCTCGATTAGCAAAATTATCGCCGACGTGTCTTGTCTCCTTGACGTTTCAGGACAATTGCTGATGACTCGAAGGAGTCGACTATCTAGCTTCTGCGATCCCGACGGCGAGATGATATGTAAGCCCCTAATACTGTGTATAACACCAGACTCCTCTGCATTTACGTACACTTTCACCGAGAGACCATTCGTACGTCCAAATTAGCGTATCGTCAGCGATAGAACTATGCAAATACCTCAATTAGCTAGACCAACGAAGTACCAAAAGTTAGTTCACCTTTATCTGCCAGCCTTCATTTCTAGCCTTCTTATTAATCCGAAGACACAGTGCCGGGAAAACATATTTTACAGACGTTTACGTAAAACTGAAATTGTCCGTCTTGTTTACAAGAGGCTTCATTGTATAAAATAACAATAAATATCAACTGTTCCCACTCATTTTTCTCTCGAGCACGCAAGACCGAAAACAAAACGGCTCGAAACGAGAACGGGGCACAATCTAAACGCAACTTAAACGGAACAGTTTCGAAGCAATTTCATTGAGATTTAACAGAAGCAATTTAAAGAACGGAACAATAGCGCAAAACCGTGCAGAAAACAGATTATTCGGCAGAGCGTTTTAACAATGTCGTGCCAGCCACGCTTCCGCTAATCCGGTTAATCGAGGATCCGTCGTACGGCGAAACGGCATGGCAGCGAGCAAACTACGCGATCGGAAGTGATGTCACGAACGCTTCATTAGCCGGCCGCGACGGTAATTAAATTCGATGAAATTGGTATCGCCGGCGCACGGATAATTGCCGATTCGACGATCGGCGCTCGTGCGAGTCAGCTGATGCGTTTCGGCGAACATCAATATTTATCGGCGGGTGCCGCCTCGCGTACGGCTGCTCGGACGTCTCATTAACTGGTTTATCATCGTTACATAAAGACCGCTGACGATCGTTAATGCGACGCGGCGGCTACGTCAAAAGCGGATTACCATCGAGGCGCTCGCTTCTCGACGCGTCTTTCCTCGAGTCCCCGATGCTTTCACGTGCTCATCGCCTCTACGAATGGTCTCGGATAATAGATTGTTCGATGCACACGATTCTCCGCGTCTCATGCAGCAGCACGATCGAGCAGCTTCCACGCCGGCTGCGTGGCTAAAACAATGATACAAGTTTCCGCTTCGCGTTCCATTTGGACGTCGTCGATGCTCCTCGCCGATGCGTGCATGCGTCATCGACGATCGAGCACCCCCTTTGCACCGCACCGGTCGATGTCTCATTTTCGTATGGCAGCTGTGTTCAATTTATATAGGTGGTTCTCGGCACTAGTTTTTTCTCATTTTACGTTTACTTCACGGCAACTGTCATCGACACATCCTTCTAGCTGGAAACAAGGTCCGTGGTCTCTCTTCTCGTCGCGTCTCATTCACACACGTGCACGAACATCGCGAGCAATGGCCCGTGACGCTCGCCCTTCTCCGCGAATTTGCGCGATCTTTCTCTGTTGGAACTTTCGCGTTGTTCGATGATGCCGATTCGAATTGCGAGGGAGAAGCTTCAATTTTTAAATTACGGTCGTTTAGCGATGTTTTAATTTATGATAATGGTTCTAGATGCTTTTACGATACTTACATCGAAAGATGGTAGAAGCGTATCGAGGGAAACGAGCAAAATACGCGATTAAGCTTGATTTAACCCTTTCGCTGCGGCAGCTCCATCCGCCGAAGTACCGTCACTGAACAGATACTCGCTCCAGAAATATGCACAGTGCACGTGGTTTCTGTAGATACAGGGTGTCCTAAAAGTGTCTCGTAATCCGGAAATGGCGGATTCCTCGGACCATTTGAAGCAACTTCTTCCTTTACAAAAATTTTCTCCGAGGCACCGTTAACGAGTTATTAACGGAAAACAGTGACCAATAAGAATCGAGTACGGCTGACGCGAGGCGGCCCAGCCAGCCAGCGCACGAAGCCCAGTTCCGCTCATTGGCTCGGTCGCCTCGCGCCAGCTGAGCTGGGATTCGACCGCCTCGACCGCTGGCGCCGTTGGCTTGGTCGCCTCGCGTCAGCTGAGCTCGCCTCTCATTGGTCACTGTTTCTCGTTAATAACTCGTTAATGGTGCCTCGGAGAACATTTTTGTAAAGTTGCTTCGAATGACCCGAGGAACCCGCCACTTTCGGATTGCAAAGCATTTTTGGGACACCCTGTATGTTGTTCTAAATCTTAAATAATAACTGTGCCGAATAAGACAATCGTTGCTCTAACGTAATAAGTATATTTACATTTTTAATTTAAAAAGACTTACAAAATTATAGGTAACATAGGTATTTATATAATTACAAAGCCTAACGATTAAATGTTTAATATAATTAATAACGAGACAAAAATGATTAAAATATAATAATAATATGTAAAAACTAATAATATAATTCTATGCTATATATTCGAAAGCAAGGATCTATACAAAGGCCAACATTGCAATCTTTGCACTCGTACCGCGAATCCGTTCTTTTATCATTTTTGCTACAAATTACACATCCGCGTCTTCTGTATACACTTCATTTCATTTATATGCGGTGCCCGTACCCACAGGTCGTCGAGTGGGTGTCGCAAATATGCGGCGCTCGGCGCGAAAGGGTTAACGACGCTAAGCTCGTCTTTTTCTCTATGCTCTTCAATTTAACGATACATAGAATGAAATGAGCCGCTCGGGCAGAAGCGGAATGTTCTCCTTTGAAGTCGAAAGACAGCGCCAATGGAACTTTTAGCAAATTGCGCGAGTTTGTCCGAAAGTCGAGCGTCGCCCGCCAAGCTTGTCAGACCTCAGCGCGTCGGGCAGAACAACAGCCGGAGCCAACATTAGGTTTTCGACACATTGTTTGCTCTCTTCTGCATCGATATTTTGTGTGAAGCTGTTTCTTTGAACATGCGAGAAAGTGGCCGGGACGCCGGTGTCTCACGTGCGAACGCGTTGAATTGCAGTCACACCGCCGGCCCAGAGGGTGCAGTTCATCTTGGGCGAAGAGGTCGGGGACGATGCGCACGAGTCCCACCCGCTTTTCTCCGAGATGGAGGAGCTCGTCAGGGACGGCGACGAGATGGAGTGGAAGGAAACGGCAAGGTAATTTTCACTGGCTCGTTACACGATGCACCCACCGTCTGCAGCACTCCGGGAACAACGATCCCGTACCAGATACGAAGAGATTAAGAGCGGTCCTGCCGCGGTGTTTCTTCTCAGATGGATCAAGTTCGAGGAGGACGTGGAGGAGGGCGGAAATAGATGGAGCAAACCTCACGTAGCCACCCTCTCCTTGCACGCCCTGTTCGAGCTGAGGAGCCTTCTGCTGAACGGCACCGTGATGCTGGACATGGAGGCCGTCAGCCTCGAGCAAATTGCCGACCTGGTCCTCGACAACATGATCAACAAGGGATCGCTGCCGATCGAGACGCGAGAGAAGGTATACTGTGACGGAAGATCATTAAACTTCGTAATCGAAGCTGCGCATATTTCAGTGCTCGAGCTACGTCTTTTAGAAGTTTCCTTGTTGCAAACGCATCGGACAATTTTTTTCATGAAATTGAAGTGATGTATTTAATCAAATCGAGATTGGAAAATTAAGTTGTATGAGCAGAATTATTTTTGAAAAATTAGAAAGATATATATATATATATATATATATATATATATATATATATATATAATAGATTATATATTATAGATTATAATATAACAGAGATTATATTATAGATTATAATATAACAGAGATTATATTATACAGATTATAATATAATAGAGTATATTATACAGATTATAATATAATAGATTATATTATACAGATTATAATATAATAGATTATATTATAGATTATAATATAATAGATTATATTATAGATTATAATATAATAGATTATATTACAGATTATAATATAATAGATTATAAAATAGATATAACAGCTTAAGGTAGAGATCAACTGTTTATTCTGAGGAAATGATTCCGTTCACCCGGACGCGAGTGACGCGGCAGTCAAAGTGTGAAAGTTACGAAATCGTTAGATTTGATGGAAGTCAAAATAGCGTGCAAAATATAAGTAAATGGTCGATCAACAAGTTTCTGGGTTTCAGGTGAGAGAAGCTCTGCTAGTGAGACACCGGCATCAGCACGAGAGACGTAAAGACAACAACATGTCCAGACTGCCAATCATCAGATCGTTGGCCGAGATCGGACGCAACCACTCCTCGTCGAAGAGTAAGTTTGCCAACGTTGCACACCCCCGCAAACCATTGACACAGTAGCTCTCGATATCAATCGACCGACCAACGACGGACGTTGTACGAATAGACGGCCGCCATACGTGCGGCAGCCCTAATCGAAACCGAACGAAAAGGCCGACTTCTCGTGCGGAACACGGGTCTCTTCGGGTTTGCTTCCCTTTTGTTCGGATCCCATTGTCCATGGAACTTTTCTGTCCTCTCTGCGGACACTTCGATCGTTTATTTTAATATGGTATTTGGACGCTTACGAAAGAGACAGACGGTCATAGTAATTGTAACATGTGGGATTGGAAGTTATTACGCGAGTTATTGATTGCGTGAATGGGTTAGATAACACGAAGAAATTTCAGCGAACACGATGCAACGGTATTTCTGGCGCGAATGGTCCGGACGTTGAATGGCTGAAAGCTGATTCGTGTGTTCGATTGTTACGTTAGCACACGAATAAAGAACATAACGTTGTAGCACGATCAATCCGTGTGTTCAAGTGTCGAATGTTTAAAGGCTGGTTGGTTAATGTTTGCACAAGTGGTTCTATGTTAACACTATACGAGACAAAAAATGTTGCGAGTACAAACGCAAGTTGCATTCGCGTTTTTATCGACGGTTTCTTGTACGCACGATGGTGAATGTATAGCGATGTTGGCGATAGTTTTAGCACAATGGAACGTGTTCGTGTTCTAACTGGATATCTGTGTGCCTTGAACATTTGAAGGCTGACTGTTTCCATGTTTCTATCAATGGTTACACATCGCGACGATGAAAGTTCGAGAGTCCGTTTCAGATTCGTCTCTCCAACAAAACGTTCTAACTAATTATTCCGAGACTCCTGAACACATTACCCACACTATTGTGTACGATACTACAGACATACAGACATACAACAACAATTTCACAAGATTCAAAGATGTCCAAAAGCCTTAATTTACGACTGTTTGGCCTGGTACGACCGAAATGTCGATGCTTACAGTAATGTCTCTCTAATCGACGCTCGGATTGTCCACAGAAATGGACAAATCGGGAAGAGGAGATGCGATTATTCCAGCCTTGCAACTCATTTCTCATAGTTCTTGACAATTCGTAACTATGAAAACGAACAGCAAGGGTCGAATAATCGTATCTCCTCTTCCTAAATTATCCATTTTTCGTGGACAATCTGAGCGTCAATTAGAGAGACATTACTGTATTTCGACTCCCGCCAGCCCACGCTGTCTCAACAATCCAGCACACAATTAAACACGTGCAAAACACTCGACATTTTCAGATGACAACTGTACATGTGGTATGCTTGCGTTGTTGACATCAGATTTACAGGAGCGTCGTGACGCTGGGGACGCGTACGCGCCCTCGGTAGCTCGCAGCAGCAGTTGCCCTAATTCGAACACAGCTCTGCTGTCGAAAGAGGCGAAAGATCTGAAAGGACCGTACCTGCTGGTTCCAGGTATAGCGTAGGCCAGTCAGCCAATTACAGCTTCGATCCTTGGGTTATGGTGCTTCCTCAACCGCTTTCATCAAATCACAATCATCGGACGAGTGTGTTGTTCGCATTGAGAGAACGATCGCCTCTCGTGAATCACGTGCACTCTCGATATTAGAAAAACTTCCTAAAGTACAGATATAATAGATTTGGAGCGGTCCTGGGCGTGGTTTGCCCTGTGGAGCCGCGGAGCCACGCCCCCTCGGCACTCTCAACACAGAGAAAACCAAAAGGAACTCTCGAAGTTGCGAGTTCGATAGCGACAGGAGAATTTTCCTGTAGCTTCCTCCGCGCAGAGTAGGCGTGGCCTGTGCTCAGTGGGCGTGGCTGTGGCGTTCCGAAAGGAGTCGGAGCGGTTTCCTGCAGGGTGAACCGTGCCACAGCCTGATCCGGAGCCCACAGAAATCTCGACGATCCCAGGACTCAAACGATTGTTTCTTATGTTTCTGTCAGCCGAATTCGCTGTTCCGCACGTGGTCGGATTCACGACGTGGTTCGCGATGTGCCAGCTAAAAGGTTAGATCGTCAGGTGGTTATCGTTGCTATGAACTCTAATCGACTGCACCAAAGTCCGTGTGTTTCGTGAGATCCTTCTCACTTTTTTTCCAGTCTCTCTGTTTCTTTTTTTGCTCTTGGATCACAGGTGTACAATACGAGTAACTGCAACCAATTTGTGACACACGATGCAAGCCGATCCGGTTCGACCGTCCTCACTCTCTCTCTCTCTCTCTCTCTCTCTCTCTCTCTCTCTCTCTCTCTCTCTCTATTCGCTCGTTTCTGTGTCTCTCTTCTAGGTGTTTACAGTAGCCCAGCACTGCACCGAGCCGATCGATCGCAGCGTCATTTTCGCGCGTCAATCTCGCGAAACAGCATTTCGTGGAGCAACGAGCCGTTATCGAGTATCAATCGCATCGCGCGTACGGGATTAACGAAACTATGATTACTCGCGTATTCGGCTCGCTCTCGCGTCCGGGCAATATCTCTCGATGCGCGCCGTCGGAAACGTTCAATTAAGATTCGTTCGACCGTGCAAAGACAAGCGGTTCCTCTGTACCGTCGCGTTTCGCGTCCCCGGGCCGCTAACGAGCGCTCAAAGGAAGGCCGACCCCGAGCACGCCGCGAACGGTTCTCGAGTGCACGTACCCGCGTAAACGGGCAGGCGAATCATTCTATACGATATTCAATTCACGAAGGCATGATCTTAACGTTCTAATTGTGTAACAACGCACGTGTGCATCGAATCAGTGTGTATCTTTTGACTATCATGTACTTTTTATCGTGTATCGTGCTACTTAATGACCCGTCGCACTTCTAACCGACTAAACCAGTCTGTCTTTTCAGCCAGCCGACTAATTTCCCGTTTCCTCTTACTCACGTAGCACTGTACACCGTCTCCGACTGATCTATGGTAACGATAATGGATCGAGGAACGGCCGGAACTCCTGCGTCCTCGAGATTAAAGGGTCCGCAGGACCGGCGCGGATACGTACTCGGCCCTGCCTGCCGGATATTTCACGGGAAATTCCCAGCTGCACAATTTCACGCGTTCGCTCGCTCATAAATTCTCCGGCAGATTGGCCGGCGAGAAAAATTTGTTTCGCTGAACGGGGAACTTCTCTTCATAGCCGCGGAAGAGGAAAAATGTTATCGGTGATCATTCCCTTCGGTTTACTTTGGCCAATTCGTCTGTACCGATCTAGAAAGAAAACGATTCATCGAACGCTACAATTCTGTTCGAAGTTCAACGATTTTTACATGCATCTCTTCGTCAAATTGTTTCGTTCTGAGTCGCTTAGCTTTTAGCTCGGTAGTTAAATTCAGCGCTATGACGAGTCGATGATGGTTATTCGTTTCTTTTAAATCGAGACCTATAACTCTGCTATAGAAATCTAGGAAAGAGATTAATTGAAGACATAGAAGGAATAAAAATTGTCTCGTTTTATCTGAGGGATTGTTACAAAAAGAATCATTCGTACATTATCTGCTGGATATGAATGGCATCCATTTCTGCTAAATCGAAACAAAATTTGATTCTTCTATTATTAAAATCTAGGAATGAAAGTAAGTGAAGAGGTACGAGAAACAAAAAATGCCTCGTTCTATCAGGGAAATTATTGCAGTAGAAGAAATTATAGCATTCGGTGCAAGGGGTTGACAATGAAAGAATTATGCTTCCCAATGCAATAATGTCTCCCTAACTGCGAAAGGTATTTTTTAAATTTTCATTATAGCCTCACATAAAAAAGTTAAGAAACAAGGGTTTTTAATTTCTTCTTTTCATTCTAAGTAATAGCAAAATTTAAAAAAAGCTTTTTAGGCGTCATCTAGTAGACCAGACCCTCTATCGTCTAAAAAAAAAAGTACAAGTCATTTAGTTCAGTTTTGAAAAATTGCTCTGTCTCGTCTGTGTACGTAAAACGTCACGCTGTCTCAATTTGGATGGAAGTAACCTCGGAAGGAGCAAGTGGCTCAGAAATCGTTGCGAATTTCGCTGGAAAATATCCGGCATGGGAGAGATAATCCGCGCCGATCGGCGGGATGCTTATGGAGGACGATGGTCCCACCGTTCTTTCGGCCTGTCCTAACCAACACCTCGCCTCTGTAAATACAGGTTTAGCCCGGTGTGTGTGTTTCATGCTCATTTTTAGTGGAGGAATCGAATTCCGCACCGGCGATCGCCGGCGCAACAAGTCACGGCAGTGGGGCAACGCTGAATCCCGGTAGCCGCTTCCTTGCAATACCCGGTAATCCCGGTAAACTTTGCTTTTCTGTGCTTGCTTTATCTTGATATACAAACGTACCAGAGACTTGGCTCGTTCCCTCAAAAAAAAAAAGAGAAAATAACGCAACGGTGCATTTCGCATCTGTTCTTCCGTTATCGAATCGCGAGACGCTGGAAGAACAATTGAACGCTCCTCGTGGAAACTTATACTTTTCAAGATGTAAAACGAATCGTCCTAAGCGATATTGTTCACAAAATTTAATTTGTTTAGACTGCTAAATGTGCTGAAATATGTGACCACTCAAATGTATCTCCAGTATGTTTGTTTCTCATTTCTGTCTTTCGCAAAGTATAAAAGAATGAGATTCATTATTTCTAGAGATGCGTGGCTTCGTTTCTTCGACCACTTCGGTTCGGTAATTCTTTTCGAACGTCGATCATATGATACAATTTCGTTATAATTTTTCGTTGTCCATCTTCGTTGTTGAAACGTTTCATTGAATACAGGATGACCCAAAATTATGGAACGTCCAGGAATTGGGGGGTTCCCGAGGTCATCTGAAGTAACTTCTTCCTTAGCGAGAATGCAATCCGCGGCTTCGTTTACGAGTTATTAACGTGAAATACTGACCAATGAGAAGCGAGATCAGCTAGGCGGCTGAGCCAATGGGCCGAACAGGGCTCGGACCGCTCGCTGGCTGGGCCGCGTCGCGCCAGCCGAGCTCGCCTCTCATTGGTCACTGTTTTTCGTTAATAACTCGTAAACAAAGCCGTGGATTGTATTTTCGCTAAGGAAAAAATTACTTCAAATGACCTCGGCAACCCCTCATTTGCCGAAAATACTATAATTTTGGAGCACCCTGTACAGCATTCTTCCTCCGCGAGGTATAATATATCTGCTACAATTTAGCAGACGAAACTTATGGACTGTGATTACTACGCTTTGCACTATGACTTTACATACCAACGCGCATAAAATTAACTATTCCCTTTTAAAGGACAAGATCGTAAATGTCACGTATGCGCGACGCTGCCGGCATACGTATTAAACTGTCCTGCAGAAGCGGTATCATCGTTCAGCATTATTATTCGGTATTTAGAGAAGCAAATTGCGCCGAAATTCCACGCTACTATTATCGTTCAGTTTTGGCGTCGACAGCGTGTTCTACGAGGAGTGTTCGATATCAGAGATGGGAATGCAACCGGAAAGGTGAAGGGTAGCCGTAAACGCAAAGATCTGCCCGAACGACGCCCTTAAGGGGCTATTTCGCGAGTTGCACGAATCCCAGGCCCAAACGGACGACTCTCGGGTTTCACAGGTAACCCGACAGGGTCGCTGAAAATAACACGTGTATCGACAAACGATTATCGAGTGCGAACTCGAGACACGGAAAACAAAATCGTGCTCGATCTGCCGGAAGAGTTTCTGCCGTGCTTGACATTTAACGCTGGAAGCACCGAGTACCGAGAGCAATCCGTCGGTAATATCTTGGAAAAGTTATAAGAGCACGCCCTTTTTCTTCCCGTTCTCGCAGCAAATTTTTCTACAAATTACGCGCACGCGGGCAGGCGAATTTAATGAAAATTGCAGGCTCGCGGAACGCGCGGGAAATCGGACATCGAAACCGGCTCTGCTTTGATAACAATATTTGATCGCATAGTGCCGAAATGAAAATGTTTGTCCGACGCAGAATGTAGCTGCGATACCCGCGGAATTGAAAATTCGTAACAATAGGGTCTATTCATTATTTGGTCTCTACTGTAGCGAAAAACAATTCGGAATTTTGCATCGTCGTTGCGCGCGGAACAATGTAACGATTTCGCGGAGGGTCGCGTAACAGCGGACGAATACTTTCGAAAAAGTCGGCTGCAGGGAAAACGTGTTTGAAGTTTCGATGGCGGCGTCCTCTCGAGAAGGTTGTCTATTACATGCCGCAGCTGCGTTAACTCTGCGAGTTTTTTAATGAAACCTTTCATGAGCTACAGTTCAAAGGTAGCACTTTCTCAATGATTTCCGCAAAAAAAGTATAGAACAGCGAAGCTGGTTACGCTGAGGTGACCAATTTTTATGCGTCTCATTTGTTTTCGAGCACGATTAACTTTCTATTTATCGAATAAGAGGTATTAAATTTCTTTGATTCTAAAACAAACGAAACGAAAGAATCTGTTTATTCGGAAATAAACAAAAGTAACATATATTTTATATATTAACATATATTATATATAAAATTATAAAATTATATTATATTTAATATTTACATATATTATATATAATATTTAGTATTTAATTTTGTAATTTTATATATAATATATGTTAATATATGTTAAATACTAAATATTATATATAATATATGTTAATATATATGTTAATTAATTATTGCAGCATTAACCATTAAATTCGGAGTTAAACATATTAACATATATTATATATAATATTTAGTATTTAACTTTATAATTTTATATATAATATATGTTAATATATATGTTATATATGTTACTTTTGTCAAATAACATATATTTTGTTTATTTCCGAATAAACAGATTCGTTTGTTTCGTTTGTTTTAGAATCAAAGAAATTTAATATATCTTATTCGATAAATAGAAAATTAATCGTGCTCGAAAACGAATGAAACGCATAAAAATTGGTCACCTCGGCGTAACCGCCTCCGCTATTCTATATAATATATACAACATATATTTTATATATTTTATATTTGTATTCGGTTCGGCGACTCCGGTTTTAAGCGGCAGGCAAATCGGCGCTTTGGCACGGTAAGACGCGAAAGTCGAAGGGTCGGGGGGGTCGAGGGGTCGATCGGTTCGATACGACCGTTCGATTTGATTCGAAGTGCGTGGAGACCGACGATTCTTCGACTGTGTCGCGTTTAAGAGGATCCGGTTATAAGTCTTCGGCTTGGACCCGGCGGAAACCCCGCCGTATCGGATTCCTGCAACTCGGAAACTTTCGACACGCGTTTAACTGGGTCACGACCATCCGGCTTTGAACCGGCCTGGATGGCGGTGGTAATTGAGGGGAAACGGAACAGTAACGCGGCGTCCCCTCGATTACGATTCCCACGCGGCTTTTCGCTAAGAATCGCCGAAGAGACGCAGTAGGCGGTAAGCTAGATCTCTTGCAGGCCAAGAACCGACGACCACCAACGGGATGGACCGGAGTCCCAGCAGCGTGTCCATCAGCAGGAATCATAGTTCGTCCGCTTTGGAGAACGGCGATGGAAACCACAGGGTGCGTGGTGGTCGCCCTTGTGCGACGGGTCGAGTCCCTTGAAATGCTCGCGTCGCTTTCAAGAATGACGGTTCTTATCTCGCGACTACGTCTTTCATTGCTTTCCACAGCCTGGATCCGCTCCAAGCTCTTCCAGCAATTCATTTTCCACTGGAATGTGGTTCCAAGCTGTGCATTTTATCTCGGACCTGTTCTCTCATTCTTATTCTTACACAAGACGCGAGAGAGAATGACGTTTCGAAGAGTATCCAGAAACGCGTTCCTCTATCTCTTCAATTTTCTTAAACAGTGCGAACGGAGGAGCACGCTGAAAGTCTCTTCCCAATGCAATACATAATTCTTTTTACGTTATAACATGATCTCAAGCAGCTGTGCATTCTATCTCGGTCCAGTTCTCTCGTTCTTGTTTTTACGCGGGGGCACCAGGGAACGGTGATTCAATCTTTCCGGGAACGCGTGGCTCGGTTTCTTCAATTTTCTTAAACAACGCGAACAGAGAAGAATAAAGTCCCCCCGATCCGGTAGTAATTCCTTCCGAACGTCGGTTGCGGTACGTTTCGAAGCTGTCCACTTTATTTAACATCGCGTCCCGTCTACAAAAGAACGGCAACCGTCTGGTTCCTACCGGGCTCCTCGATTCTGTTGCCAAACGCAAACGGAAGAGCACAATCCACGGTGCTCTTCAATTACCCGAATCGTCGGACGAAAACGTCGGCGAACAATGGAAAGACTTTGCGGAAAGCGGCGCCGGCTTTTCAACGGTTTGACGAGTTTACTCGGGCAGGAAGCCCGTGGTCCAATTTAATTCGACCGATGCGATTGTCATCAGGGGAACACGCACTTCATGCGGAAGATACCGGCGGGGGCGGAGGCCAGCAACATCCTCGTCGGCGAGGTCGATTTTTTAGACAAAACCTTGTCAGCGTTCATCCGGCTGAGCCAGGCCGGGATAATGGGCGATTTGACGGAGGTTCCGGTGCCGACCCGGTTCATATTCGTTCTGCTGGGGCCAACGGTAAGATACACCTGACCTCGAGGTCGCAGTGCCCACTCGAATCGCGTTCGAAATCCTCTTTCCGAGTAATTAAAGTTTTAACGAAGCAATTGTCCACGCTGATTGCCCCGTCTGCTCTCGCTTCTGAGAGGCCGACGCGGGGAGCAATTTCGATTCGACGTGAACGACGGCTTCGTTATCGTTCGATGCCGGGAGCATCATCCATGGGAGATCGTTCCGCGATCTCTTTTCGTTCACGGATTACGCGACACGCGCGGTTACACCGATTCGTTCCTGAACCTCGCTTATCTTTCAGGGAGGAATCTCCGGTTTCCACGAGATCGGCCGTGCAATGGCCACGCTGATGTCGGACGAGGTGTTCCACGACGTGGCGTACAAGGCGAAGAACAGGAACCATCTTCTGGCTGGTATCGATGAGTTCCTGGACGCTGTCACGGTCCTCCCGCCCGGCGAGTGGGATCCCGCCATCAGGATAGAACCTCCTGCTGCCATTCCTTCGCAGGTACACAGCGATACCTCCGAAATTTCGAGTTGCAATTCATTGGACCGCGAATCCCTATGCAAAATAAAAATTGTCTGCATCAATTGCAAGACAATGGGAGACAAGCGCAAGTTTCTTTCTTTCTTTGATCGTTTCAATAAGTTGAAATTAATACAACGACGTTCTTAGTTTCCTTTCATCTGTCCACTGTTTTTATTTTATTTGATGATATCTTTATGCTACGTGGAAGTTATTAAAATGACTGCTAACGGAATGCCATTTTTATCAATATTTATTTTGCGTAAAAATCTGCGGTCTAGTGAAACGAAAGTGTGAACTAAGTGAAATGAAATCAAAATTAACATCCTCCACGTGCGATTAAAATTTATATTGTCCCTCAAACTATTTCACAGTCCATAGTGAATGCATATTAAATACTATAAATCTCGGGTTTCGAATGATACATGTCTTTCATAAGTTACAAATATCCATTGCTTCTCGAAAAACAGCAAAAAGGTATCAGCAACGGACTCGCAGACGAGTTGAACAAATTTAACCCTTAGCGCTCCGAAGGCTCCGCTACGGAGACATTTGTCATTTGTTTTTAGCATACGTTATCGTCGGCGTTAGCAACTGTTATCTGTAGTTGATACGTGCTAAGTCTGTACCATTACGATTAAACCATTTTTTAACCTTTTCTATGGTTAGCAACACGGAGAAAAATAAATATTATGATGAGAATTTAGAGCCGAGTGATACCGAAGACGTATTTGATTTTCAAGAGTTAAAAGACATTGTGGAACACAATGTTGGTTATGATTCTGACACTTCGAGTAGTAGTAGCGAAATTATACTACCAAAGAGACGAAGAATGAGAATTATTGAAAGCGAAAGCGAAGATTCGTTACAAGACTTGGATGAACGGCGTGATGTTACGGAAGAATTACATATTCCAGATAGAATACCTTTTAGTGTATTGACGCAGGTCATTGGACCACAAGTTCTTACAAACATTGAACAGCTGATACAATATTTTAAATTATTTTTCACGGACGAATTGGTAAATGAAATTATAAAGGAAACCAACGATTACGCAGAAAATGTTCTAAACTTGAAAGAAATATCTAGTAACTCTATTTGTCAAAGTGAATACTATGACACTTGTCCAAGTAAACCCAAAATGCACATGGGAGATTGTTACCAAAGATATCACACCATGGTGAATTACAAAATTTAAAATTTATCTTTTATTTACGATAGGAAAATGTATATTTATAAAATAAATAAAATCAAATGCATTCACAAGGGCGTGTAATCTTTTCCGGTAAAATAAGACTTCCGGCAAAATAAGACTTCCTTTATCTCAGGCGCACCGCTCCAAAAATGTGCCGGAGTTGCTGGTAGGCAGTACTCGAGAAACGCGCGGAGCGCTAAGGGTTAAATCATACGTACCCATTTTGCCATAAATGCACAAATATTCCGCAGTCTACTGGCGACAGCGTGGAGAGAACGGTCAGAGGAAAAATAGAGGTCCGGTTAGCGAAGAGGAGGATGTAGAAATAGTGTTGAAGAAGTACGAAGGAGTTTGGCGATGTCTGAAGGCTCGTTTGGTTTTTCTAGGAGGTGAGAAAGCGACCGAAAGAGGAGAAGCCGAAGGAGGACATGGACGAGGAGGGGGACGAGCAGAAGCTGAGGGAGGAGTCAGGCCTATCGAGGAGCGGAAGACTGTTTGGCGGTCTGGTGAACGATATCAAGAGGAAAGCGCCGTTCTACCTGTCCGATTTCAAGGACGCCCTAGCCATCCAATGCGTAGCGTCCTTCATTTTTCTATACTTCGCCTGTCTTTCCCCCATAATCACGTTCGGAGGGTTGCTGGGAGAAGCAACTGGGAAGAACATGGCCGCCATGGAGTCGCTGGTGTCCGGTTTCGTTTGCGGCATCGGGTACGGCCTGTTCTCCGGACAGCCGTTGACTATTCTAGGCTCCACCGGGCCGGTTCTGGTCTTCGAGACCATCGTCTTCGACTTCTGCAAGTGAGTCTCTCACAGATCTTTCGTTACAGGGCAGTTGAAAGTCTCGGAAGCCAATCAGGGTTGGCTTCTGATATCTGACGTGTCACCGAATCGATCGTTTCCGTAGGATAAACGACTGGAACTACATGTCCTTCCGCTTCTGGATCGGCTCGTGGATCACGCTGATCCTGGTGATCCTGGTCGCGATCGACGCCAGCGCCCTGGTCTGCTACATCACGCGGTTCACCGAGGAGAACTTCGCCACCCTGATCGCCTTCATCTTCATCTACAAGGTACCCGATCGATCGGCGAAGTTTAACAGGCGCGGGAGACCTTGAACCATCGGACTATTCGAGGCGGGCACGGTCTGGGTCGTCGTCGCACCCGTTAATTATGCAATAGCGTCCTTCTCGGCCGATCCAGTTAATTGGATGGGCTAAAACTGCCGCGTGCTTCGCGGATCGCTTCATCAGCGAAACAGCCGACATTTGGGTCACGAGTTACGATCAGGCGTACCGAGGGTGCTCCTCTTGGGCTTCGAATGTAGTCTCTATCCCCTAACATCTCATTTCGTCGAGAACAACTGTTCTAATTTTCAATTCTTTCTTTAATCTATCTTCGGAACGCCGGATGTTACGGCGGCGGAACAGTTTATCCTCCTTAGCAGCGCAGTTTTGCCACGCCCACGACGCTCTAGCCATTCCCGTAGGCGTCCCTCGCGATCCCCACTACCTCGTGATTCGACAATCGAGAGACGGCAGCAACTTTGGAGGAAATTAACAGCCGATCGAAGCGAAGACGGGACAGCTGTCGCGGTTTCAAAGCGTCCTGCTGTCTCTTTAAAATTGTGGCCCGTTATGAACGGATGCTGCACGAACGATCGGTTTGTTCCAGGCGATCGAGAACGTGTCGTCGATCGGTAAGAAGTATCCTATCAACACCTACGCGAACGATCAGTTCGACTTCGAGTGTTGGTGCAAACCGCCGAATGGTACGCTGCCGTCCAGCTACGAGAACGTCAATTGGACGGCGCTGGACCAGAAAGCGTGCCAGGTGAATATTCTCGTTAGACGAGATTACAGCCCGCTGCAGGGTCCCCTAACCTCGTTAACTCTCTTTCAGAGCTATAACGGTACCTTGATGGGTTGCAATCTACCGCACTACATACCCGATGTGTTCCTCATGTCAATTATACTGTTCATGGGCACCTTTTTATTATCCGTCGCGCTTAAAGACTTTAAGAACGCTCTCTTCTTCCCATCGAAGGTGAGCCAACTGTTCAATTTTCAGAGACGTTTTAATTATATATATAAAATATTCATAATATAAATATTTAATATATTATAAAAATATATATGTATATATATACAGGGTGTCCCAAAAATGTCTCGTAATCCGAAAGTGGCGGGTTCCTCGGGTCATTTGAAGCAACTTCTTCCTTTACAAAAATTTTCTCCGAGGCACCGTTAACGAGTTATTAACGAAAAACAGTGACCAATGAGAGGCGCGCTCAGCTGGCGCGAGGCGACCGAGCCAACGGCGTCAGCGGTCGAGGCGACCGAGCCAATGAGTGGAACTGGGCTTCGTGCGCTGGTTGGCTGGGCCGCCTCGCGTCAGCCGTACTCGATTCTTATTGGTCACTATTTTTCATTAATAACTCGTTAACGGTGCCTCGGAGAAAATTTTTGTAAAGGAAGAAGTTGTTTCAAATGATCTGAGGAACCCGCGATTTCCGGATTGCAAGACATTTTTGGAACACCCCGTAGGGTGTTTATATATATACACGCGGTAGACTTTGCTGTTGTACCATAGACTCAAAATGTTGGCTCCATTCGCAGGTCAGGCAGGTGGTCAGCGATTTCGCGGTGATCATCGCGATCTTCTCGATGAGCACGCTCGATCACGTCGTGAACATACCGACACCGAAGCTGGAAGTGCCGGCGGAGTTCAAGCCGACGTTGCACAATCGGGGTTGGGTTATCTGGCCTTTTCAACATAATCCGTGGTGGAGCGCCATCGTCGCGTGCCTGCCAGCTCTCCTAGGCACTATACTGATCTTCATGGACCAACAGATCACCGCCGTGATCGTCAACAGGAAGGAGAACAAGCTGAAGGCAAGTTCAAGATTAAAAAGGTCCTCGAAGAAGGGGCCATTTTGAATCATTTCAGAACTATGTTCTCTTTATGGTCATATACAGAGTGTCCCAAAAATGTCTCGTAATCCGGAAATAGAGGGCTCCCGAGGTCATCTGAAGTAACTTCTTCCTTAGCGAAAATGCAATCCGCGGCTTTGTTTACGAGTTATTAGCGAAAAACGCCGACCAATGAGAGGCGAGCTCGGTGCTGGCGCGAGGCGACCGAGCCAATGAGCGGAAGTGGGTTTCGTGCGCTCGTTAGCTAGACCGCCTCGCGCCAGCCGAGTTTGCCTCTTATTGGTCAGTGTTTTTCGTTAATAACTCGTAAACAAAACCGCGGATTGCATTTTCGCTAAGGAAGAAGTTACTTCGGATGACCTCAGAAACCCTTCATTTCGGGATTGTGAGACATTTTTGGGACACCCTGCAGATCTTTCGAGCATGAATTTTTCGGTATCGAGGAAACGATTACCGATGAGGAATGTCTGAAAAAATAGACTTTAATAAGCAATGCGATTCGTTCGTTTAGAAAGGGTGCGGCTACCATCTGGACCTGTTCATCCTCGCGATTCTGATCGAGATCTGCTCGGTGATGGGACTGCCGTGGTTCGTGGCAGCGACGGTGCTCTCGATCAATCACGTGAATTCCCTCAAACTGGAGTCCGAATGCGCCGCACCGGGAGAGAAACCGCACTTCCTCGGGGTCCGCGAGCAGCGAGCCACCCACATTCTCATCTTCCTGATGATCGGCTGCTCTGTCCTGCTAACGCCGATGCTGAGCCACATTCCCATGCCGGTCTTGTTCGGTGTTTTCCTCTACATGGGCGTCGCCTCTCTGAAAGGCCTCCAGTTCTTCGACAGAATCCTCATCATGCTTATGCCGGTGAAATATCAGCCCGACTACATGTTCCTCCGACAGGTAAACTGGACTAATATTGTTCTCGAATAAGCTAGTTTGAACAAATGATCATCTCTGTTTGCTCCTCAATATTTTAATAAATTAACGAGATCGGGATTATTATATTCATTGAGAATCGCTACCAGCCACAGTGAGATATTGACGTGAAATTCATCGATGGGTTTCAATATTTCTGACGAGATTGCACGATGTGATGCAGGTACCATTGAAACGCGTGCACCTGTTCACGGTGATACAGCTAACCTGTCTGGCCTGTCTCTGGATCATCAAGTCCTTCAGCAGCACCTCCATCTTGTTCCCTCTGATGGTAAGCGTCGAGGATCGATCTCTTCGTCTACTCTTAGTTCAACCCTATCGATCCGACTTTTTTCTACTGATATCTCAGTTACTTTTCCACTAGAGATCGATAATACTAAGCTAGGGATAGCTACACGTCGATTTTGGGTGCTGGACAACGATTTTGATAATTGGAATATATATGTCCCACCAGTTTTTTTCTGCGAGACAGTGAGACATATGTCTTCCGGTAATTGTTAAGATAAATATATATACAGGATGTCCCAAAAATGTCTCGCAATCCAAAAGTGGCGGGTTCCTTGGGTCATTCGAAGCAACTTTTTCCTTTAAAAAGATGTTCTCCGAGGCACCATTAACGAGTTATTAACGAAAAACAGTGACCAATGATAGGCGAGCTTAGCTGGCGCGGAACGACTGAGCCAACGGCGCCAGCGGTCGAGGCGGTCGAATCCCAGATCAGCCGGCGCGAGGCGGCCGAGTCAACGGCGCCAGCGGTCGAGGCGGTCGAATCCCAGCTCAGCCGGCGCGAGGCGGCCGAGTCAACGGCGCCAGCGGTCGAGGCGGTCGAATCCCAGCTCAGCCGGCGCGAGTCGGCCGAGTCAACGGCGCCAGCGGTCGAGGCGGTCGAAGCCCAGCTTAGCTGGCGCGAGGCGACCGAGACAATGAGCGGAACTGGACTTCGTGCGCTGGTTGGCTGGGCGGCCTCGCGTCAGCCGTACTCGATTCTTATTGGTCACTGTTTTTCATTAATAACTCGCTAACAATGCCTCGGAGAAAATTTTTGTAAAGGAAGAAGCTGCTTCAAATGATCCGAGGAACTCACCATTTCCAGATTGCGAGACATTTTTGGGACACTCTGTATATTCTCAATGCGTTGTCAATATGATATGTATGATGCATGAGTATGTATTGTTTTGATAATGTATACATAGCAAAAGATTATCTTAAGATCTGACGTAACTAAAAAAATATTGCGATATTAAAATATCCATATTTGTATAGGTTTTTTTCTTATTATATTTATTTACATTTGTATTTATTTTGCTTCGTTTCTTTTCAATAATACATTAGTACAAAATTTAGTGAGAATAATAATTCGTTATTTTCGAAAATCAAATTATTGCTGGGAAAACAGAACTTCTTTTGTCTTAAACTTCATTATTTAGGCATATCTCAATATCAAATTAGAGCAGCGACATGTCTTTAAATCAATGCAAATCGTCTCGCACCGACAATTACCCAATTAATCGGTTCTTCCCGTTGTTTCAGCTGGTGGTGATGATCGGCATCCGCAAATCGTTGGACCTGCTTTTCACACAGCGCGAGCTGAAGATCCTGGACGACGTGATGCCGGAACCGCACAGAAAGCACGCGGACGATCTTCGCCAGCTCGAGAGTGGCGAGGTTAGCACCGTGAGACGCATACTTAGCGCGATCGTTGGCCGTAAATAGCACGCGAGGGGTGGCCGCGTGGCGAACATCCGCCCCGTGGTCACCGTCGCTGTCTGCGACTGCGGCGATTCGGCGGCGATCCACCAAAAGCGCATAGATCGCGACACCTTCAGCCTCGATCTCCTAAGGGAGGCCTGAAAAAAATCCAGGGTCGCCGCTGTCACCGTTACCGTTGTTGTTGTATTTGTTGTTAATCTATCTCCGACCAAGAAACAAGCAATAATCTCTCTTGCGCAATGGCCAAGAGACCGCGAGACAGCGAGCGCGGCTGTGCGAAACGAAACAGAGCCCGTCTCCTTTTGTATCCGCACGGGAGACGTTCGCACAATACCGACCAAAAAGACGTCATTTCGCACAGATCGGCGGAGGCTCGCTGGTGCGTGTGCCAAATCAACGAAATCGAAGCCGAGCCGGTCCGACCAGTATTAATTATACACCACTGCGCCGACGAGGACGTTCGAACGATTACCGTTCGCGATTTTTGCGCGGGGAACTCGCTTTGAAAGTGAAACGCATTTCCCGGAGACCGTTTGTATAAACGGACTGCGAACCGTATGCATTTACGCAAAGCTGTCCCAAGAATTTGAAATTAGGTTCGACGAATTTTTATCGAAAGAGGAAATACATTTTCGTTCGAACTTTCCTTTCTTCCGATCGATTCGGGCAATTTTTATTCCGCATAAAGATCCGCCGACTGCCTGCGACCCTTAACTGTTCGAGTCCCAGGTATTATTCAGAAAACACAGTCGAGAAATGCCGAACAAAGCGTGATAGCGCTTGTCTTAACGCTTCTACGACCGCGCTAGAGACCTAAAAAATTTTCATAAAATTAAAATATTTCAATGTATTGAACAAAAATTACGAAGCAAACTTATATAAGGCATCAATTACTTCTTCAGCATTCGTACCTCATGCAAATCTTCATAAAATTAAGCAATCAGTTTTAATTTTTCATTAATCATCCATTCGGTCGTCGATCGGCTGAATTTAAAACGGGGAGATCTCCCCATTCGGTTGGCTAAGTGTTAATTGATTGCGAAGAGAACCAAGCGGCGCGATAGCGCTCGTCAAGATCGACGAACAAAACAAAAAGAAACAAAAAATGAAAAAGAAAGCAGCTGCGCGATGTACGTGCGTCACTAAAGTTTGATCGCGACGCAAGATCTGAACAGCGCGGTCACGCTGCTTGGGACTCAAACGGTTATAGTAGACGGTCCAGACGTATGCCGGTGATTATCGAACAAAATATTTACGTAAACCGTCCGAATGCTCGGAAAAAGTGCTGCGCGAAGATGTATTAAAAGAGCCTAAACTCGATACGATACGTTCGAACGAATTTTTGTACAATTTTGATTTATCGCTCAAGGGTTAAGCGGCGGTCGTTATTCCAAAGAATTTCCAGCGTCGAATATATTTCGGCGACGATCACGATCCTGTCTTATGATCCACGAGCAGTCGTATTTAGACGATCGATCGAACGTTCGCGGCGCATTTCTTGTGGAGGATTGTTTTGCGTTGCGAGGCCCCAGAGTCCCTCGCTCGGCCTAAAATAGGACGAAAGGAAGGAAGGAAAGAAAGAAAGGGAGGAGACCAAGCATACATCCTTGTCACCCGATCGCGACAACACGCCTACCACTCGACACACATGTATAGCGGTTCGACGTGTAGTCGAGCATGGATGATTACCTGCCTTAAACCTATTCGAAATACAATATTCTTTGAAAACACACACCAATCTCTCTGTAATCCCGACTGTTCCTTGCGCAGCATTCGTTTAAGCAAACCGACACGACCGACACAGTCTAATTACAAGTCTACGCACATTCCTTGGCGCACCGGAAGTAGTGTAATCCGTGGTTGGTCGGACGAGGTTTCGGATCAGCCTCTGCGACCGACGGTTACGGAGGGGATGATATCGTGGGGGTCGATTAATCGGGGGAAAATGTGTGATCGATCAGGATAAATGAGAGAGAAAGAGAGATGACCGGAGGCAATAAAGGTAGCAGTCCTGCTCGCCGAGTCCTGCGGATGTGACCCGGTACGTGACCAATTGTGCACGCGTCCTTATAGCGCCTCAGCGCACGAGGAATGTCATTATCCAAAGTCTTATCTATACATCCCCCCCGCTGGCGATCACACACTGTCATTGCGTTGACCATCGAATGTCGAGCACTGCGGAGTTTCGCGTCCCATCTGCGATCGTCGCAACGATGCCACGGATTCCAAGCGTATCGAGAAACGCGATCGGTCGCGACCTTCGTTCCGCTGGAACTCGCCATTCCGCTATCGTTCGCTTGATAAAAGATTCACCGCGCGAACAGGGCACCGAAGGGGTCGCTTTTCCACGCGATAATTGGCCAGGTTCTGCGGTAACGCGCGTTTGCCCGATTGGCGCAATGATTTCTCACTAAAAAGAAGAACATCGATCTTTGCATCGAAGCTTTTCCAAAAATTATCTACTCTTCTGTACGCCGAATTAACGTAATCGGGTCATCGAAGATGCGTTCGGGGACCTCTGTGTGCGAGACAAATGCTTCTTGAGCCACGTTCGTTCGCGTCTCTGCGTTCTCTCGATAACAGAGAGATAGCTGTAAACTTTTGCTGTAAAATGCGTTCGTTTACGGAGAAGGAAAAGAGATCGACGGCATATTTTTCTCGGAAACTACTAACATTGTACAATTAGAATGAAACGTCAGGGAAGAACGATCGAGCAATTTTAAGAACGATTTAAGCAACCGCAAAGTTACGACCGATGCGAATCGATGCAGTTTGCGAATCCAGATGCATCGTTGCTCGAGCAGTTCCGGAGACGTTAGTCGAGAGAGCTTTGCTCAGCTCGATGCATGGCTTTGAGGCTTCTCATGACCGACTTTTAAGATCCGTCTTTCTCCGGGAGATTAATCGTGCGACGTGTTCAACAGGAGCAGAACGAGTCGACGGGTTACGGGACGACTCCGAGCAACATACAGATCTCTTTGGCGAACGGGAACGTCATGAAGATCCCCATGACGAGCATCAATATCAGCGAGGAGGTGAACAGGACCGGGATTTGGCAACAGGTGAACGAAGGGAACGAGAAGCCGAAGCAGAACAAGTTGATCAAGTACGTACTCGATCATTGGATGTTCTCGATCGAACGGTGATTTCTGCGGTTTAGTAAGCGCGTTTCGAATTCATTCGATTTTGGATGTTTGAATGGTCGAATGTTCCCGGGTCCAGCGCTGGTAAGCAAAAGAAGCATTCGAAGAAGGATAGCTCGTTGATGGCCGACGAGACAACGAGACTGACCACGATGACCGAGGAGGACGAGGATGACAGTGGGATCTCGATCAAGGTGACACACGTAAATGACTCTAAATTCTAACCACCATCACCATCAATTCGATAAATCACATGGCAAACAACACAGCAAGAGCACCAATACACCGGCATGCGACATACCCCCTGTACGCTACTGTGAGTAAGACTATGAAAGGGGGCTGCACGGTACCCTTTGAGTCGTCCGAGTAGTATCCGAGACCGAGTAGTTCTCTCCGAATAGAGATCTTAGGAACAACGACGACTCCATAGAATAGATCTATCCGATTGTCGTTGTCTTCTTCTGTATCGCTTGTCGATGTGTGGGAACACTGTGTGTGCGCCCGTGGCTCTTGCATGCTCTATCTCTCGATGCCGGAAAAATCAACACCGATCTCGATCCTTTCCGCATCCAAAGATTAACCCTTAGCGCTCCACGCGTTTCTCGAGTACTACCTACCAGCAACTCCGGCACATTTTTGGAGCAAAGCGCCTGAGATAAAGGAAGTCTTATTTCGAGTGGAAAAGATTACACGTCCTTGCGTGAAAGCGTTTGATTTTATTCATTTTATGTTGCCAAGTATAAAAATGGGCAAAAAATGTTTCAATCGTAATGGTACACACGCTAAGCACGTTTTCACTACGAATAACAATTGCCAACGTCGACAAAAACATAGCATCTCCGGTGTAATTTACGGAACAAATGACGGATGTCTCCATAGCGGAGCCAACGGAGCGCTATGGGTTGAAGTACAACTCCCTATACGAGCTTCGTGACTTTGAAACATTTTCTTGGATGACAGCTTGAGATCTTTTAAACGAGAACGATATGGAAACTTGTCATGATAGACGGCATAAATCCACTTATATTTATTTTATTTGCTATAAAATATATTTTTCGCATTTCTTATCGCTTCGCTATCTAAAATATTAACCATGCAACGTAATCGTATTGGAGGCAAATTGCCGCAAAGACGTTTCTTTTTTCGCTTATGCACCGTGCCGTTGTTCTGCACAGTCGTTGCTCGTTCGTAATCTGTTTGGTGATCGTTCGCTCGGTCAGAAATTATATACTCGATTCGATGATTCCAGGTAGATCTTATACGATCGAAGGAGAGCATCAGTCCGTTGACAGTGAACGGCACCACGTCCGCCGAGACCTCCGTCTAACGGCTACGATCCTCAAGATCCGCGATCGTCCGACGTAGATCGTTCATCCACCGATCGAGATGCTACCGATCGGTCTCTGTTGGCCGGTGCGAGCCTACCCTGCAAACGATCGTGCTCCGAAAGGCAATCGAGTCGAAACAGAGGAACACGCTTATCCGTGACAGACAATTGATTTTTTATTTGGTAGCGCGCACAGTCGCGCCGGAGGCTTTCTTATCTTATCTCGCTGTAATCTGATCGAGTGCAATTAATCGAGTGCCACTAGCGTATAGCGCCGCGAGAGAGAAGTGAGAAAACAAGCGAAACGCACACCGTTCGGAGCAAATGTATAGAGCAGGCTAGGGCTGTTTGCGCCGAGAGTGCTCCTGAGTGCTCCAGGGAGCAACCTTTCGATGCAATCGGTGTCCAAGAAACGAGAGACATTCGTTTTTCCAAATAATTTATCTCCTTCCGTGCAGAGTTCCCCGAGGGGACGTGATTTGGGGCATCCGGGCTCGGCTCGTAGAACATTCTGTGTAATTTCAACCGAGAAGAATTCCTCGGTCGTTCCGAACAGTCGTCCACTTCGGAATTCGATATCGGAGAATCAGGAAACACTCGATCTTTCGACAGAAAGCTAAATATCTCGATGTCGCTTCGCAGAGCGCCCAAGTGGGCGTAGCTAAAACGCTCCTGACGGATCCATGGACTATTCTACAGGGCAAACTGTGCGCTTCTGATCCAGAATTCTCCCCTCCCGAACGCCCCCTCGATGCCACAGAATGTAAAAATACTCAATCTGCCGATAGGAAACTATCCATCTCGCTGTATCCGTGGCAGAATTGCCAAGTGGGCGTGGCTTCGGTGCTCCCAGGAGTGAAGGAGCGCCTCGCAGGGGCGTGCCCGACTCTGCTGTAGAGTGTCGTAGATTCGGATCCCGTGGTCGTCGACGAGCCTCGAATCTGCGATAATCAGTGTGCGAGAGACCCGTACTATTTACCGTAACCGATCGAGAATAGCTAGCGTAGTTTCTACCCGTAACAGACATGCCAAAGAAACCCCTTCAACGATACGTCGACAGTTCCTTCGAGGGATGATCTCGCGAACTTCGCCGAGGAACACGGAATAGAGGATCACGTGATCGGCTTGACATTAGACGAGACTAGTACCGATAAATGATCGCGCGACGATCGTCATCGTTGTCTGCCTCGGCTCGCTTCTCTATTTACAAGGAATCGCGGTCTCGTCAGAGGAAATGCTTTCGAGGCGTCGGACACCGGCCAGATGCGACAATATTGTTATACGGCGGTTTTTTTTTACGACGATCTAATGGTTCAGCGATCGAGCGTACTTTGCCACGGGGCCACGAGATTTTTCCACGTTTTTTAACCGAGGCCCCGTGGAGACTGACTGAATTCTCCCTCGAAGAGTATCCTTCCCGATCGACGTCGCCGACGGACGGATCGCGATGGAATAATCGAAGATATTCGACGGAAAATGATTCCGGTGAAACCAAGGTTGAAACTTCGTACTAGACATCATCTTCTGTCTCTTTCATCTTTCGTTTGAATTTTGCTTTCTTAGGCTCGATATCGATTTTTTTAGATCGAGTCCTGTCTTCGTTTATTGGGACGTTCGGAAAGTTGTCTCGTTCTTTCTCGAGAAAACGAGAGATGATTTTGTAATGTTTAGAGAAAAATCTGTCCGACATTCTTTCCCGATAGCTTCGAAATCTTACGCTCCCGTTTGTCATCGAGTACACGAATCGCGTGCTTTTTGAACACCCTTGCAAAATAAAATCTCGTAGAAACGTGTGAAGGTAAAAATATCGCCACGTTTTGACCTCTCGATAATAAAAATATAGCCAGGGTTAAGGGGGGATCTTTGTGAGAAATTTTATAAAAATTGAAGAGTTTCACTGTGATCCAAGCAAGATAATCAATATTTCAGAATATCATGCCGTAAACGCGTAGAATCTGTCGAGCTTGGTTCGACCGAATCCTTGCGAACGATCATCTTCTTGGGCGACTCCATCGCGATCCCCGGTCGAACGAGATCATTACCGTAACTGCAGTCTTTCAGATAGCGATGGAAACCGGAAACAGAAGCAGAAGCATTTCCAAAGCCCCGCCTCCGCCGATTTTTACTGGACGCCCATCGCGATCGGGGACAACCAGGAGAATCCACAGAGAGAATCCAAAACGATATTTTTCAGATGCCACGTTACCGTGTTGTTGCGCACCACCGAGGCTTTCCCCCGACTCGTTCGAAAGCTGCGCGAAAAGTATTTTGTAAGAAAGTGTTAGAGCAATGTAGGCAGCATCTCTGAGGATACGTGGTTGTTTTAGCGAGCCGCTTCCGGCGTGCGTCGATATACGCACGCGAATAGCAAAAGTAAGGGACACGGTCGCTCGTGTCGATGTTACGTGTGTTTTGTATATATATAGTCCGTGGCGAGCAGGATGATCGCAGATAGTCGGTGAGCGAATAGGTTTGTCAGTATTATACCGAAACATAATGAAGAGGATGTTAGCTTTACCGTGGGACAGCGGGTGTTTGCGCGAACAATTGTTTCTATGTCGCGGCGGAAAATTCATTTCGGAACGATTCGTTGCGTTTGTTCTCGTTGGATAACGACGCCATTCGATACCCTGAATCGTAGAAAATCCGCAGTCCACCCGTGATTAGCCGAAGACGTAGTCGAATATCGCGATGTTTCGATAAAGAGCATTTATATTTTCCATTTACATCGTTCGAGAGGAATCGCTTCAATGGTTGTTTTCTACGAAGAAATAAGATACGAGAGTTTGCGCGGTTGTCGAATGCTGTTTATCGGGCCTGACCTTATCGGTCTGCCACCGACCACCCACGAATCCTGATCAGAAAGAATACGAATCTTTTTCTATTGCAATTCGCACCAGTAGCTTAAAATTCGCGATCATGCAATTTTTGTTTCGAACGGCTCTCTACTACCTTAACGATCTCTCAACTTTGTCGGCGAAGATTGAAAATCAAAAACTGCAATGAATTCTGTTCTCTCGAAATTAGCGTCACTTTTTCGAGGATTAGAAATCTTGCGGAGTCCCCGAATACGGTATCGAGATCGCATAAGGCAGGCCCGAATGTATTCGCGAAACGGGACAACGTCGAGAATTCGTCGACGACGAGATTGTCAGCGAAGAAATGGAGTGCTTGACCGTATTAGTATCGATGTAGCGTATTTGATGCATGTGTTTAGTATAACTACAGCGACGAAGAGGCTGATTACGTTCGCGTCGGGTGTCGTTCGAATTTACGCGAACCAGGCTGTGTGCAACGGACAATGCACCTCGATGAATCGTGGACCGTACGATCATTTCTACACGAAGCAATCGAGTTCTGCGCGCTTACCTTCGGCATTACTTACGAGACTACGTGTGCGTGTATATACGAACGAAGGAAGAGGCAGACTGCGAGCGAAAAAATGGTATATAATCAGTCGCACTCGTGTAACTCGCTGCCGTGCATGCAATCGATGTACATTAGTCCTATTTAACGACATTATTGATAAATTCTGATTCGAAGAAAACACCGATCCATCGTTGTCCACTGATTTCGCCGGCGTGATCCCCGCTTCGCACACCTGCGGAGCGCATCCGCATGCATCCGTGCGCTCGCACTTCGGCCTGTGAATCATTATGCACCTCTGTTTCGCAAGAGTTCCGATGAAATTTTGTTTCATTCTCGAATCTCAGATACCAAGTGGCAAGAGTGATGCAGTTTCATCCGATTTCCCTTCCTCCGAATCGTGCGCAAGAACGCGGATCTACGTGACGATCACGGTGCCGTGCAGTTGCATTGGCAAACGTGCTCAGAGTTGCCCGCTTGGAATTGTAGAAGAATCACCAGGTACGTCACCACCGAACTGATCACCTAAAGACGAGAAACGAACACGAGCAAGCAGATGAATTTGTATTCATCGGTCGATCGATCGCGTTTGCTCACCGATTGGAACAGAGAGTTGTCCATGTTGAAGTATCCGCAGGCGGTAAACTTAATTTGTCGATTCAACAGCTGCAGCGAGAACTGCTTCAGCTAGAACAAACACATGTACTAGGAGACAAAGAATGTGTAAGATGCGAGAACTCACCTCGGACCTCGTCTCTTGATCAGTCGCATTCTTCAGGAACGAGTGCACGACGATCGCTGTCCTCCCGATCTGCAATATATGCCGAAGTTGCAGTCAGAGAATGATTTCTTTTTTTGGAATGCGCGAATGCAACATTAAACTGAATTTTTCTTTCAAACGAAATGCGTTAAGGAAGTCTGAATTTATCTCGCGATGGACGTAAATTAAATTATAAATTACGTATCCGCATTTGTAAAGAATTTATAGAGGGCTATTAACCAGTTAACTGTGGCGATCTCTTTGCAAAGCGCCCACCAGCGCCCACCAGTTTAACAAAAAAAAGTGAGACAGCGCGCGCATGAGCTCTTTCCAGGAATCACCGCAGATGGGGAATCTAAAATATACTTTGTTTTTTTGTTTTGGTTTCGATACATCAAGATGAAAATCGGGATAATCGAAGATCCGGTGTTACTGCACTGCTTACGAGTTAGGAAGTTATGAATCCAACTGAAATGATTGATAATTTTCATTTCGTTTGTTTCATTTCGCCTAGACCACTAAACATTTTAAATATATTAAAATTTACGAATACAATTTAGTTTTCGCCAGAAATACCAATTTAAATATCAAATTGTAACAAAATTTTATGAACGACGGATATAATCGTCGTGACACGAAATTCCGCCACATCTCCATGACGGATATAGTCGTCGAACACATTTAACTGGTTAAATTCATTACCGCGGATCTAACGCGATCGATGCATCGAATTGAACGAAGTAAAAAGAACCACAAGAATCCAATAATGCTGTGCTATTTTCCAACTTGTTGAAACCACTGGAGCCATGGTAGCAGTTCGTTCCCGTGACTCTTACCTCGTTCAGAACATCGGTGGTCTTGGCGGCGAGCAAGCCGAAAGGATACATTGGAAAAGCGATCAATAGGACGGTGTCGATGAACGGCGCGATGTCCAAGCCCCGATTGTAAAGGACGAGTGGCTGGAAAAGGTAGTAAGAGTTGAACAGAAGCGAATGAAAGGTGAAGATGACGACGAACAGGATGGGGAACGAGTAGAACTCCGAGATCACGTCGCAAATGTCGCAAAGGTTGTCGTGGATGTTTCTTAGGTGGCGAATGCCCTGGACGATGGTATACTTCGGTAAGATCCGTCTGCAGCAAATCCCGGATTTCGGGAAATCGTCGGAGAGATCGCTGCTCAAACTCCGAATGGCACGATTGACACGGTTGAAATTCACGGTCATCAGGCTGACCACCAAGAAGTATTGATACAAGAGGCAAGCGGCGAAGAATCCGGGCATGATGTTCGCTGCCCAGACGAGAGGACCGTTGTGATAAGCGAAGTACTCCAGCATCAGGACGACGATGCACATGGTGATAATAAGTACGAAGACGATCAACAAGTTGCGGAAGGAGTGCTTGATGCTGGCGGACACTTTCAGAGAGCGAAACTCCTCCTCGGCCTGGATCAGGTAATTCCAGATCCTCTCGAGGTTGGACCCCTTGATGGCGTAACACAACAGGGTCGTACATATCATCACGACCGCGAACGTCGCCTGGATCATCTCTATGATCGACGAGGTCGGGGTTCTGAAGACGTAGTCGATGTTGTAGAGATTCGGCAGAGTGACGTAGGTTGACGCAGCGACCATGCAGCTGAGGAACACGTTGTAGAAGATCCCGAATTTGGTCCTAACGAAGAATATCGTTCGATTGTTCTTCTGGTTGCCGCCGCGTAGGGAGACCGTCGCCAGACCCATCGCCTTGAATGACACGTGAAACGATAGCATCATCCAATAAGCCCATCCGGACGGGTGTGCCATGTCTAACATCCTTGCGGCAGCAAATTGGCACCAGAAGCATCCGTGATCCTTTCTCTCTCGATTTTCTCCAACCTTCTCCAATCTTGGAATTAATTTATCTTCTAATTGCTATAGGCAGTTGCTTCGTCCAAATTATAATCTATTGCTCGCATATACTCTTGACGAATATCTTTGTTCCTTTCCAGATACAATGTCAAGTATTTTCTTGTGTAATTTCTTCGATCCACTATCGGCATTTATTTTTTTCTTGCTCTGGATGCGGCTTCTTGATTAGAATTTAATCTCAGCGCCGTATTGCTCGACTCAAGCTTGTCTGGGCATCGACTACGAATAGAAGTTAATCATCGTTCACGCCGTCATAGTAGCAGAGCTGGCAGCATTAAATATTAAACGATAGATCGTACACTTTATAATGCGTGTAATAAAAACTGCTGCATTGATAATGTCGGTGTGTAATTCTGTCCACCGGCGACGCTATCGTACGTTTCAATAGCAATGCATCGGCTAAGTGCGAGAATGCAAACGGAAAAATATGTGCTGAAACTAATAACAGATCAGGAAGATTCTCGATTGTAGAGTAAAGCAGAATGCTTGAAAAATATGGCAATTAACTGTAACCTTAAAGGAGGGTCGAAAAGCGATCGTAGAATTTTAAACACGTAATTTTGTTCTAACCGTTGTCCTTTTATAAATCTTTCATGTTTTATATTCGTTTCTACCTAAATGTATTCTTCAGCAGTATATTGTATAAATAAATATACCACGAACGGAAAAAGTAATATTTATAGCACCTCCACAACCTCAAGCACATTCTAGTGTTAAGCAATGAAATTCTTTTCTTATTAGAATAAATGAACGAGGGACAGAAATAATCGCGGAAACTGTGTAAGAATCTGTGATTAATTTTTTTATTCGAAATATTCTGTTCTTCTCACACACACACATTCAAATTAAAGATTCTCTTCAAATTTTCCACGAAAAATGAAATTCGCTTATAACGATCAGTCCATCGTGCAATTGCACTGGCAAGCAATCGAGGATTTGTTTGCCACTTGAAACTGGATAAGGATCACCAGATACGTTATCACCGAGCTGACCACCTGAAAACGGAAGGCGAGAATGTTGATGAACAGTCCGCGATCTAAGGCGATCGAGCGCGAGAATGCGGAAGAACAGAGATCGATCGATCGATCGATCGCGTTTGCTCACCGATTGGAACAACGCGTTGTCCAGGTTAAAGTAATCGCTAGTGGTGAACTTAATTTGTCGATGGAGCAACTGGAGCGCGAATTGCCTGAGCTGGAAGAAACGCAAGACTCTTTTACTGGGCAATTGTCGGTGTCTATGCGATTTTACCTCTGCCAGTGTCTCTTCATCGATCGCGTTGTTCAACAACGAGTACACGATGATCCCGGTCCGTTCGATCTGCAAAGGAAAGCTCTTCTGAGCACACTGGAGACCCTAGGCCACCTTTCGGAGGTTGACACAATTTTAAAACTATTTTATTAAAAGCTAAATTTATTATTTATATATTGGGTCCGGGACAAAGTTCGTGGCGTTTTCCCGATAGATGTCGAACTTGATAACTCACGAACAACTTATTGCAACGATACCATTAAACGCTTCATTTAAAGGTAACACATTGAACGTTATTTGCGGCGTATAAACATCGTGGTGGTGCAATACTTGGAAAGTTGTTGGCGTTTGAAAATGGAGAGAAATAATGAGAAATTTTGCTATGTTTTACAATACTATTATGACAAAGGGAGGAACGCTGCGCAGGCTTGTGAAAAAATTTGTGCTGTGTATGGTGAAGGTACATTATCAAAATCAGCTGCGCGGAAATGGTTCGCTCGCTTTCGTTCTGGTAATTTTGATGTGAAAGACGAGTCACGCTCTGGTCGTCCAGTTACCGAAAAAGCTAATGAAATTGTTGAAAAAGTCCAGCAGGATAAGAACATTAGCAGTGTCGATATTGGTATGGAACTAGGCATTGACCACAAAAGTGTTTTAAACCATTTACACAAAGCTGGATATTTGGGTTCCTCATGAGTTGAGCGCGGAAAACATGATGAATCGAATCAACATCTGTGACGCGCTGCTGAAACGTAATGAAATCGAGCCATTTCTGAAACGTGTCATAACCGGTGATGAAAAATGGATCACGTACGA